ATTGAACTTGAATTAATTTTAAACCATTTCAACCTGATCTTCGTATAACGGTCAAAGCACTTTTTTAAAAGTTTAGTGCAAATAAAAGACGGGAAGTTTTATTTTTAGCTGAATATGATTTGTTTTGTTTACTTTAAGGTAAATCGCACTTTGCGAGCTGTGTCGTCGAGAGTAAGTATTTCTCAGTCAACTGAGTTCTCGCGAAGGCAAATTGGTGGCGAATGGCATTCGGACGAATGCCATTTCGTTCGCCCGTGTGGCACCGCGTGAATGGCAATAAATCTGAAGGCATTCGGGGGTAAATGCCATTTTCTCTGCCCGTGTGGCACGGGTATAAGGTACTCGGCTGCTGACCCGCAGTTCGCGGGATCGAATCTCGGCCGTGGTGGCTGCATTTTCGGTGGAAGCGGAAATGTTGTATGCCCGTAGGCTCAAATTTGGGCGCACGTTAAAGAACCCCAGGTGCTTGATATTTCCGGAGCCCTCCACTACGGCGTCTCTCATAGTCATATGGTGGTTTCGGGCCGTTCAAGCTCGCATATAGATCAATCAATCTGTCACAGTAACGGGAATGTCGCAGGGTGCACGTAAATATCCCATTTTTGTGATTTTTCAATAATAAACATATTTCATAAAGCTCCCTGTAAAAACAGGCCCAGTACCACATATGGTACAACACATAGTGAAATTATAGAACTCGTTTTAGTGGCACACGTCCTATAGATCAAGGTTACCACTGCCTTTTTGTGTCTTTGAAATATCTTGCCAATTCGTATCTGTGCAAAACGTAGATCTGCTGACGTAAATAGCGCTCGTGCAGCCAGACGAAAGGTATTTCTTACTTTCGAAAATGTTTCCGTTAGCCGCGAACTACTCTCAGAACATGTGAGAGAGAAAGCATGTATTGAAAGAAGCTTGTGAGTGAAGGTGGGAAGGTCCCTTATTCCAGGAACCCTCTGGCTTGGACAGCCCGCCGAGCTCGAGCGACGAGTTGACGTTGCTCAACCAGGTCCAGCTGGAAAATCGCAGCCTCCCACGCTTCACTGAGGAGGTCTTGGTCCGCATCTGGTGCTGCTGCTCGTAGTCCTTGAGACGCTTACTTTACACTGCAGTAGAAGGTGCGCCAGAGTGTCTGCCACAATGCAGTGTGGACAGATGTAGCTGTGCACCGTTGGCCTCATATGGTGCAATAGTACGCCGTGGGTGAACGTGTTGCTTTGAAGACGCCTATAGTCAGTCCCTTCGTCTCTTGTGAGTTTTGGATGTGGCGGAGAGTATAACCTGCGTTCGAGCCGATAATGTTGCAGTAATGCATTGTACGTTAGTGGTATGGTTTCTCTTGCCTCTGATTCTGTTGTTGAGTGGGAGGTGCCTCGGATCTCGTATGGGAATGCCCGGTTGACGCATTCGCGGGCTGCGGTGTGTGGTGCTTCACTTCCCTCGAGACCTTCATGACCCGGAATCCACACGATGCATGTGTAGGGAGGAGGATTGTCTATGCGCTTTAGTAGTATAATTGCCACCGTGGAGACCCTGCCTTTCAGTTAGTTCCGTGCCGCTGTTTGTGAATCGGTAAAGACCACGATGGGATCCTCACTCGTCTGGGTGGCGAGTGCTATAGCAGCCTCTTCAGCTGTTTCCGTACGTTTGGCGAGGATAGTCGCCGATGCCAGTATGCGCCCTTGTAATCTGCGACGGTAATCGCGATGGCATTACGTCCCGGATATTTGGCTGCGTCCACGTATCGCGCCTGCGGGTCATTGCCATGCTTTTTCCGGATCATGTTAACCCTGGCGAGCTGCCTTTCTCGGTGATGTTGAGGATGCATGTTCCGAGGGATTTGCTGAATTTCAAGGCTTTCTCGCAGCTGTGACGATATTTTGCCTTTGCGTTCTTCGTTGGGTTCTAGGGTGCTCTGGTATCTTGTGCGTCGAAGGACGGCTTGCCCTGTGAGTGACAGCTTGAGTCTCTCGACCTGGTTGATGAGGTGTGCTTCGGTGAGTTCTTCCCACGTCTTATGAACTCCCATGCGAAGCAGTCGGTCGGTGGAGGTGGCTGGCGGTGGTCCTAGGGCAAGCTTTGTAGCCTTTCGTATCAGCAGATTAAGTTTTTGTTTCTCCGCGCTCTTCAGGTTGAGGTAGGGAGTTCCGTACGTTATGCGGCTGTAAAGAAGAGCTTGTACTATTCTTAGGGTGTCGTGCTCTTTGAAGCCACTGCGGCGATTAGCCACCCTTCGGATTAGGTGGGTGAGCTGTGTCACATTGCTCTGCAGTCGAGGTAGGGCTGCGGAGCCAGACCCATCTTTATACATGTGTAGTCCAAGGACTCGAAGCGTGTCATCTTGTGATATTTGGACTCCCCGTAGAAAGACTTGTGGGTCAGGAGTGTCGTAGCTTGGTGGTCTTCCCCGGGTGCGTGCCCCAAGTACTAATAGATCCAATTTTTCTGGAGCACATTGGAGGCCGCAGGTCTTGAGATATCCTTCAGTGATGTTAACCGCCTCTTGAAGTCGGTCCTCCTGTTCACCCGTGCTTGAACCTCTTGTCCACATAATGATATCATCGGCGTATAACGCGTGATGTATCCCAGGGACAGCGTCCAAGAGACGTGGGAGATTAAGGAGGGCCAAGTTGAAAAGCACTGGTGATATCACTGAGCCCTGCGGCGTGCCTTTGTTAGGGAGTTTAAAAAGCTCGCTCCTGATATTGGCAATCCCTACAGTGGCAGTGCGGTTGGTGAGGAAAGCCAGCATATAGGTGTATGTCTGGGCACCACAGCCGACATCTTCCAGGCTACGCAGAATGGCTTCATGGCTCACATTGTCAAATGCGCCCTCTACGTCCAAAGCTAGAACAGATGACATACTGTGCTTGCTCAAGCGGAGAAGGATATCTTCCTTTATCTGCAAGAAGACGTCTTGTGTGTTGAGCATTTGGGGGAAGCCGAACATGGTGTTCCGGTAGTGACCATTGTCTTCGAGATGTGTGGTGAGCCACTCGTTTACCATGTGCTCAAAAAGTTTACCAGCGCAAGATGTAAGGGAATGAGACGAAGATTCGCAATCGAGATTGGCTTGTTTGGCTTGGGTACCATGGTCACCTCTGAGTGCTTCCATGCTTGTGGTAGCTCGCCCTTACTTCAGCAGTCGTTAAAGTGCCGAAGGAGCGCTGTCAACGCCCGGGGCGGTAGCTGTCGTAGGTGCTTATTGGTCACTCCGTCTTTTCCTGGGCTTGTGTTGCACGTAAGCTTAGCGAGGGCCGCGTGTAGCTCTGCCAGCCTGAAAGGCTGGTCTAGTGCTTCGTTCGGTGCTCCTCGATACTCCCTGGGTGTCGAATTGTTGATGGAGGTAGCTTGCTGGTTAACCGAGCCACGCAGTTTTGCTTGAAGTTCTTGGAATAACTGGTGCTCTGTGCCCTCATAGTTGTGTATGAGCCGCTGAATTGTATTTCTTTGATTAGTTTTGATGTGGGGGTCGTCGATCAGGGCTCGAAGAATGCGCCAAGACTTCTTTGTGCTCAGTGTCCCTTGAAGTTTGTCACAGAAGGACCGCCAGTTCTGGCTCGCAAGGTTTTCGACGTACTCCTGTGCCTGTCTAGTGAGTACGGTGATGCGGCGCTTCAGCTTGCGGTTGAGCTTTTGCCGTTTCCATCGTTTAATAAGCGATCTTCGAGCTTCCCATAGGTGAAGGAGATGATTATCGACTGCCGGATTGTCCTCGTTCAAGTGTATCGTTTTGGTATGTCCGTCAGCAACACTTACAATACTGTTTAGCCAGGCTTCAATGTCTTTGATAGTCGAATCATCATCAAGGTCATTCCTGTAGGCGGTCCAGTCTATGAGCCGAGCTTTTCCTGCCTTGAGCGAGCGGTGAGCCTGTTCAACCTCTATTTGAATTATGTGATGGTCACTCCCTGGAGTGTCTGGTAGCCTTGTCCACGTTGCGTTGTGCACGTCTCTAGTAAACGTGAGATCAGGATTAGTATCCCTCAGAACGTGTGAAAAAAAAAACAGTGCGGATTCTGTACGTCTATTCATAATCAACTACGAAAACGTACTTTAACTGTTCTGAAGCACAAAAAATTGTGTACATTAACTCTATTGTTGTCCTGTGTTCATTCTTTTTAGTTTCAACAGGACCAGTTATGGGTTGTACACACGTTTTTTGCCACGTTGCAACCGATGATGGCTAAGGACGTATACGTAGCTTTTTTGATGAAATCCTGGTGTTCAGGCAGACAAATATTCAAAAACAGAATATTCAGGGACACCAAGTGCTCTGTCCAGTGTTAACACGGAAGCCTTAGAGAGACATTGCGAAGATGCGTTGGTTTACATTTGCTACTAATGTACACAGATTCCTTAGCGGCAGTTGCATCTTCATAGTTGCAAAGCTCTCGTCAGGGAAGCAAGAAAAAGGCATCCTCCTATTGTCTGGCGTCATTGATTGTTAACTATCAACACAAAAAACACTGGCGCGACTGACAGACTGGGAGAATTCAGGAAAGCAAAAAGCTTATGTTTTGTGAAGCCATACTTAAATTAAGCCGGAAGACAGGCATGATGTGGCCAGAAAATAGAATTTACAAACTGGACTGGTAAAAACACAGTGACATTGCTTAGAGTGACTGACTGGCAGTCGCTGCCATGTGCAGGGTGAAGAACAGCATACGTGAATAAAAAAGAAAATAATGCATAAAATTATGCAAAGAGAACAAGCAACAAACAATAAAATATGCAACTTCTTAAAATACCCATTAAAACTAGTTATCCATAAAACGCCTCCCCAACGCGCTTTACGCCTTCTGTGCTTAGTGATTGAGGACTGTTGAAGGATGTAAAATGATAATTCTGCGTTTCTTAATTTACGAAGGTTTTGTGTGCGTTTTATATATGCAATTCATATTTAAGGCACTTAGATAGTGTTATCGGCTTGTGGACAGAGGGGCAGTAAAGAAGCTTCGTACTTGTCCTGACGGTCATTCTCCTGTCACCTCATTCAAAGGACGTTTTGCAGATTCCGACTACGCGAGTTATCTCGCTTGAGCAGCGTCAGCACTTTTGCGTTTCTCCCCACTCACAAGCTGGTTTCTTGGTGTGGTAAATGGGAGGAGTCTCTCACATCTGCCACAGATTTGTTGGTGCTTCGCTGCAACTGAAAAATTTCAGAAGTACAGCAGTGATCAGTAAGTAGATCAGCGATTATTCTCTGCAGATACTATTTGGTTGTCATCATAGTGTGATAGATCATATTCTTGATACCATAAAACATACCACTTCAATTTCTTTTGCTTGTTCCGCGATTTTCTTTTTTATACTTTTGCAGCACAGATCCTAAACTAATGACGACGTCAAAACCTAGTTTTCAGAAAAAGAGCATATGCACAGCATTGAATATGGTGTTAGTACTCGACTACTACGTCAGCAATTTGTATTACCCACGTTCAGTGTGCCAAGAGAAATTATGTGCACCATAGTTCTTGGTATTCCAAATACCAACAGTGTTCTTACGTTTATATGCACAAAATGCCACCAAAGTTACATATTTTCACTTTATAACTGTTTTATAGCTCTAAGAACAGAAGTAATAATCGATCTCTGAACAGCAGCTTGGGCAGTTCCCGTAGCTTACGAATTTCAAAGTATTTATTCTAGAAGATCCTGCCGCTCCGTGGACATCGATGTAATGCGAAGCGGTCAAAAAGTAGCAACGTTCACGGCGTCGTTTGGTGGGCATTCGTGCCTTTTTCTCAGGCACGAATGCACGCGGGTTTTCTGGTACGATGGTAATGAAAGAGATATTCTAGTATACACAATGCATGTCGTCTAACTTAGGTTCAGCGTAAACTCCCACAAAACCTATAATTATATCACAATCATATCCGGTAAATGAGACCAGTTATTTGTGATAGATAGATAGATAGATAGATAGATAGATAGATAGATAGATAGATAGATAGATAGATAGATAGATAGATAGATAGATAGATAGATAGATAGATAGATAGATAGATAGATAGATAGATAGATAGATAGATAGATAGATAGATAGATAGATAGATAGATAGATAGATAGATAGATAGATAGATAGATAGATAGATAGATAGATAGATAGATAGATAGATAGATAGATAGATAGATAGATAGATAGATAGATAGATAGATAGATACGCTTACGGTGGCCGAGGTTAGCTTAGAAAGAATTCGCATTTTAAGTTTGTGTCGCACGTCATGCTGATGATTGCCTTGCCTGATGAATCGATCAGTTCTTAAGACGGAACTTCATAGCTTTTGTACTGTACCCTTATTGCCATTGACACACACAAGGTTGTTAAACACAGGGCCTCCCAGCTATCACAAAGCACGATATTATAAAAGTGGAAGGGCGTTGTGCGAAGTAGCCGTAGTGGAGAGTTCTCAGTATATTGTACAGTAGCCTCTACTCATTTTTTACTGAATGAAAATCAGTAATTACTTTAATTATGTTCGTGTTGCAAAAGTGTTCACCTAGTTATGAAAATATTTAGTAGGGGCATATCGCATGCTGAAATGACATCTATCCGGGCTACTATCAAGAGCGCACTAATTGCATGCTTATTTATTCTTGTTAATAAAGAAAACTTGTGAGATCAGAAAAGGTGCAGGTGCATATACTGCTTCCCAATCAAGAAACCGTGCCCTTAGGAAGGCTCACTGAGAGGTAGACCATGTTAATGAAGAAAGAAATGCAGTAATAAAGAAATACAATTCACTTTGTCTGCCACTTCTCGCCCGAAGAAAAGCGCCACTTTTTTATACACAAGCTGTGTAACTGTTTTTATACACAGATTCTGTAGACGGTTTTTTATACAGAGAGCTTTTATTGACGACAGTTGGCCGCGAGTTATGAATACCCACGCGGCCATATCAATCAACCGAAGGAATTTTCGCAAAATCTCGACGTATATACGTGGCGCCCAACCCCCATCCTCGCTCATGTTTGGAGTGTGGTCTCGGGAAACAAAAAAGAAGAAGATCAGTTGCTTTTCAGTAAGCGTATTTAAAAGTGCTGCTTTCTTATGTGGATGGCAGCGTAGTCTTCTGTTATTTTTATACTTTGCTGGCTCTTTTTTAACAGACTAAGGAGCAGAGAAATGTCATTTCAACAAACTCACGATGCACTAAATGATATTTATAACTAGGTGAGTTCTCTTAATGTTACGAATATAATGTTTACTAGTTTACTAATTATCAAGAACGAAAGCATTAGTAGCAGCTATTGCAGTATACCGGAGACAATATGCACTACGTCTGCTCTCCGCTAAGGCATTCATTTTTTTAATAATGTTGCATGATAACAAGAACGTCCTCTATACTTTCAGGCCTTGCATATGCTATAATGCATATACTGTTACTCAAAGAAGCGCATCTTTAATATACTCGAATTTCTGCAAGTTAACCTATTAATTTGTCAATATCATTGACTACAAATCAATGATTCGGGGCTCGGTGATAAATATTCGAAACTTACTCGTAGCCCATCACAAATATGCGACAATAAACAAACTGAAATGTGCTAACACGACTTTGCAATTTGTTTTAAAGTTACTCGCCAATTGATGAGTTTATTGGTGTCAAAACTGAAACTGACCCCACCGACTTTTCAAAAATACGTAAAACGTGTTCTTGTACCCTGTCAGTTGTGAAATTACACAAAATATACAAAGTTAGCGTCTACACATCTACTTAACAACTCGTTATTTACCCATTTCAGCTGCTATAGTGACTATATGCCACAATGAACCTGGAAAGCTACAAACACGTCGACGGCGTCTCTTTGCACGGATGGTACCACGAAGACATGATACGCTCGGCACTTTCTTACAAGCCCCGCTCGGACGACATTTTTATAGTGACGTATCCGAAGTCTGGGACAACTTGGATGCAATACGTCATCCTCAGCATTCTTGGAGAGAGCAACGTGCCCAAAACCTTCGCAGAGTACATGCTGACCTCTCCGCACTTGGAACTCTTCGGTGAAGAGGGTGTCGAGAAGATGCCCAGACCTGGTCTAATCAAGACTCACCTGCCTTTTCACAAGGCACCGTACTCGCCGGAAGCCAAGTACGTTTGCGTCGCCAGGAACGTGTACGACGTTTGCGTATCCTATTACTACCACACGCGAGGCCTTACTCCTATCAGCGTGAAGGATGTCTCGTTTGCCACGTTCCACAACATGTTCACGACCGGCAAACTGTCCTACGGTGACTACTTTGACCACGTGCTCTCCTGGTACGAACGTCGCGACAACCCCAACGTACTGTTTTTCACGTACGAAGATGTGAAAAAAGATCACCAATTGTGGGTCTTGAACATAGCGAAATTTCTCGGAGAAAATTATGCGCAAGCGCTCAGAAAAGACCCCGATCTACTCCGCAAAGTTGTAAACGCTTCGAGCTTAAGCAACAAGAAGCAGATCTTCGCTAGAAAAATCAGCGCCTCGGTAATGAATTTGCTCAATCTGCCGTCTGGCAAAGCTTTGAAGGCACTGCAGGTGTACCGTGACATCTGGCCCCATATGGGAGAGTTGCATCCGAACGAAGACTTTGTCCGGAAAGGTGTCATCGGTGACTGGAAGGAACACTTCACTCCAGAGTTGATCGAAAAAACAAAGGCTTGGATCGAGAGGAAGACCACAGGATCTGATGTGATGCAGCTTTGGAAGGACATTGAACTGCCATAGTTTTACAAGCAATGTCAAGGGATACGCTCTTTTTTGTTCAATAAAAAAGGACAACATTCATGCACATGCATTAGCGCGAATAAAGCCTGAAGGGTCAGCGAACATTATCGGTTTATTCTCGACTGTTCAACGTCTTCCACTCCCTCCGAAAGCTTTTGTGTCCTAAAACGTATTGACTCCAGGGTCGTGTCACTTTTTATCATGCGACAGTGTGCAGAAAGACTTAATAATGTGCCTTCACATTGACATCACGATGATTCACATATTTTTCGCACCTGTGACGACACCATGCTGAGAATTTTTTCATTGCTCGTGCTGATTTCGAAGCTCACTTTTCATGTTTGATTGCAAATCCTGGTATCCCGCCGTTGTATAGCACGTAGCATTATTTCAGATAAAGCTTTAAACAAAAAGAAAATATGGCTATCATGGTCGCTTTTTTGCTATGGTGAATCGTCTTAGTTGAAATACACAATCCTTCTAATTTATGAACATAATTTATGTACTACTTCTTTCTAAGTAAAACCTTTCATCAGCCTTGATTCTGTCAACAACGTCAACGAAAGGTTGCTAGAGAAGGCTGTCAAAACAAAGTAAGTCCAGAAGGTGATTTCGCAACTTCATTGTGGAACTATCTATGTCTACTTATAAGTGGTGAGTGTTCTGAGAGTTTCATAGCAGATGGCTATAAACCGACTTCGGTACACTACTGTGGTGAAAATAGCTATAATATTTATAACTTCATGGACTAAAACATAAAACACAGCCACAAGACAGCTGTCTCCACAATATACTTCTAGCACGTGCGCAACCACAGCAGCCCAATGGCTATTAGAATCAGTGAAATACATTTAAAAAAGGTGAAGTGTGAAATTCTGTCTCAAGAATGTTGATATTAGTAAACGCTGCAATGCAATTGTTAAAATCTCAAAATTGTCGAATCACTAAACTAAGCTTTTATAATAAAACAACCTCTAACTCAATAGTTCATTTTGAACACGCCTCGCTGTCCACATCAACTATTCCTAATGCTTTTTTGGTGAAGCTGTACCAAATGGAAGGGATGTAAATAACGTAGTACGCGAATGCGCAAAAGGCTGTTCATGCTATTCGGTCCAGACAAGCTGGACAAGAGTCTCATGATGAATATTGTCGATATTATTGTGTCCCAGTTTTGCAACTGTGCTTTAGCTGTAACCTTTGTTGTGAGCTCAAAGGCAAAGAATAATACCACGTTCAACTAACCGCAGGTCCTCGTCCCATTTTAAGCACGTTCTGTTACTTTTGAATTTATAGCGTTATGGGGACGTGGTCACAGGACGATATTTTTTGAATCACACTTGTCGATCAATTTTTCAATTATCAATGATCAATTTTAGGGTTTGGTTAGGCTTTTAATGTTTTAGGATCAGACATTTAGAGTTTAAGCCACTTTTGGGTAATTCATGGTTCTCGCTTGGCAAACCTTTCTTGACTCACAAACCGATCATGTTAATGAGTCATGAACAGTAATGGTGAGGCTGCTCGTAACGACAATTTAAGCTCCAATAAAACTCGTCAAAGTTGTATGCAAGCTGGTCAATAGTCTGTTATGTACTTGACATCATATCATCATCATCATCATCATCAGCCTGACTAGGTCCACGCAGAACAAATGCCTCCCTCATGTTGCGCCCATCAACTTGGTTCTGTGCTTGCTGCTGCCACTTTGTACCTGCAAATTTTTTAATGTTGTCTGCCAACCTAATTTTGTCTCCACCTAACCCGCTTGCCTTCCCTGAGAATCCAGTCAGTTCTCCTAATGACCAGCGGTTATCCAGCCTACGCGCTACATGCCCGGCCCATATCCATTTCTTATTTTGATTTCAACTATGCATGATGTCCTCAATCCCGGTTTGTTTCCTGATGCAGTTTATATCATGTACTTGACATAGTGATAAAGAAATCTCGTGTTTGACATGTTAGTGGGATGGCATATGAGCAGAGTAGCCGCAATAGCAGGTAAAAAGAGACCCAGTTTTCACACTTCCTTGTGCAAGCTCATCAAGTGTCCCATGTTTGAGAGCAGCAGATTACACGTTGCTTATTCTCATTGCAGTATCATGATATTAACAAACGCAAAACTCCAAGAGCATCAAAAACTCCAGCATACTCGGCGAGTGCTCGCACCAACAAGAAGTCTTCTTCATCGTGTTCTTCGATCGGTTTCAGGTTGAATTTCAACAGATGTGTTCCGAGGAAGGAGAAGAATAGGAAGACGTGAACTGGTACAGCCTACCGACACCATGATTTCACATTCATCAACCTCACCCGTTAATAAACATCCTTCAACCTTAACCGTTACATTAATTACACATGAGAAAGCCCATACAGCACAGCCAACTGTAGCATGTTGTGTGCGCTCTCACGCCGAAAAGAAACCTTCTTCCTCTGTGTTCTTCGAGGGCAGGTGAAAGCATGAATTAAGAAAGAATTTGACGAATAATGCTAGAAATCGATAAAAAAAGGAAAGGAAAAATATGAAGAGAATAGAAATAGTTACATATGCATAAAATAACACCTAAAACTATAAAATTGCACAAGAAATAAAAGAAGAAAACCGAAGAGAGACACAGAGGGTTACGTAGCTCAGCTCTTTCTCAGGGAAGTGTCTATTTCATAGAACGCTTGTACCCTTGTCTCAAATTTTCTATTTGTTTTACCGCAAATTCTGGGAGCTGGCGCTCCCTCCTTGCGAGAATGGATGAAGAAGCCTCTCAGGATTTTCGAGGTGGACAACCGCTACGTCTGGGAGCGGCTAGGAAACGTGGGACCACCTCAAGTGGCGCAGACAGCGAGGCAACGGAGCTCTATTCCGATGGTTTCGAGTCATCGGATGACGAGTACACAGTCGTCATGAGCCGCAATGCAAAAAGAAGACTGCTACGAACATCATCGACGGCGAGTATATCCACCGTGCAGGCTACCGCGCAGCGTTGGCCACACACTATACTCTTCATGGCTGTGGACCCTTCAGCCAACCTACGGCGGCTTAACAGGCAAGTCCTCTCTGCATACCTCGAAGGACTCGCTCCAAATGAGATTAAAGACGTCAGGATCAACTCACGGAAGAATGTTCTGGCAGCTTGATGTTCTACACCGTAGTGCGCTGCAAAGCCTACAGAACATTTCGGAAATCGACAGAGTTACAGTTAAATCAGTGATCCCCACTGACTGTAAGGGCAGTGTTGGCGTCATTTATGACGTGGACATTTCCATTCCCGCTGATGATTTCCCAATCGTGATAAAGCCAACTACAGACGACATCCTCATCAAGCACATCGCAAGGCTTGGTCAGTCACAATGCCTTAAGATTGTTTTTGAGGGAGACAGTCTTCCCCCACACGTCAAAGTTGGCCACGTTCGCCACCAAGTCCGTTCATACATACCGAAGCCCCTACAATGCTTCAGATGTTTCAAGATGGGACATGTCAAAGGAGTATGTACCAGCAATGTCGTGTGCCCGCGGTGTGCCGAACCTCATTCAGAAGACACCTGCCACGCAACTGCGTTCAAATGCTCCAATTGCCACGGCGCTCATAAAGCGTCGTCTAAAGATTGCCCACGAGTGCGAAATGAACGCACGCTGCTGAAACGCATAGTGCGCGACAATTCAACGCATAGGGAAGCCGCTGCTAATGTCAGGCAACGTCGGCGTAACCACAGAAGATCATCACGCAACGTGACATCTGCTGATAGAGACACGTCATCTCAAGCAAGAAGAACTGGCCCTCCATCGTCAAGCTCTGCGAAGACGGATACACCGAAAACAGAATCAGGGTCAAGACTCCCACCTCGTGAAGAGTGGCCATCACTTCCACGAACACAGCCTGTTTCAGAGGTGCATCGAATCCCGCCAACCTCGGTGCCATCACGAACCACTGTTGAAAAGACAACTGAGGATCGCCAGGTCATCAACATGTTGCAGACCCTTATGAGCACAATGCGCATGCTCCTAAGCACATGAACACCCCATCAGCGCAGAGCACACTCCAAGTGCTGGACATTGAGTCTGGTGCTTGCAGCTCTAAGGTAAAACGATGGCCCACAACATGTTATCCTTTCGAGAGGAGGTCAAGAACGCACCTGTCCTTCAGTGGAATGCCATAGGACTTACGGCGCGTATGTCCGAGTTCCGGCAATATGTATTCACGAACCAGTTCTCCATAATTCTGATTTGTGAACCGAACCTGTCAGCTCAGATGAGACTGTCTGGATATGAGTGCTTTATGTCTTCTACCCACGGTGAGCGCAGCAAGGTCGTTGTGTTCATACGGCGCGACTTAACTTATTCATCACCCTGTACCCCCTGACGAAGAAAACCAGTACGTTTGCCTAACAGTAAAAAACAAGAAGACCACATTCCCCATCATCGGAGCCTACTTACATCCATCAAGTTGCCTAGACCGTGAGCGCTTGCGCGGAATTTCGAATTCAACTCTCCAGCCATGTGTGATAACTGGCGACTTCAATGCCCATCACTACTTATGGGGAAGCTCCAGGGTCAACACTAGAGGTCAACAGTTAGTGTCTTTCGCTATTGAATGTGAACTTATCCTCGTGAATGACGGCAGCCCTACTTATCTGCGCGGATCGGCCTATAGTAGTTGCCTGGACCTCACTTTCGTCGCACGCTCGTTCGCCAGCAGAGTGCACTGGTTTTTGGATTTGGAAACAAGGGGTAGTTACCACATCCCGAACATATCTGAAGATTGACAGCTCTTCAAGTCTCAAGTCCTCCAGAGCCGTCGAGTGCACCGATTGGCAAAATACAAGTTAATCATGGGAGACTTATGTTGGCGCCTCACCTTTCAACCTAGAGGACGCAATGAAGAGTGCCCTACAGTCAACGACGTGTTCGCTTCCGGTGAGCTCATCTTGCACTGGTATGGACATTGATCTCGAGGAACTCCGAGCGATTCGTCGTCGTGCAGAACGACGTTATAGACGCACGAGGTCACTTGATGATCTGAGAGTGGCCAGACGCACACAAATGAAAATACAGCGTCACATGGACAAGTTGGACAAGCAACGGTGGGTATATTTTTGCGAGTATTTGGATCCCAGAAAGCCTCTGTCACTAATTTGGAGAACTGTCCGGAGTCTTCCGTACAACCATTACTCAGCGCTACTCATTTAAATCTCTGGCACTTCACTTAAGCTGTGAAGAGATTGATGTCGCAGATTCTTTCTGTCGAAGGATCGCCCTGCGGGTCAAATTCAACTGGGACAAAGACGCCCGACTTTTCTGTATCCTCACGTGATCCCCGAATGGAGATTTCGTTTTCGATGGACGAAATAAAGGCTGCGCTTGCTTTGTGAAGACTTTCTTCAGCGCCAGAACCTGACGGCATCCCTTACCGCGCTCTGTGTCACCTA